AAAGAAAAGTTATTAATGTGATGGAAAATATTATTTTATTAAATGGTTGAAAAAGAGTAGAAGAATGAGAATGAAAATTTTAATGTGGGTCAAACAGGGACTTAATAGTTAATTATTCATTCAAGCATAGATTAAAACTATGGCATCAATCAATCAAACAAAAATTGATAATAAGAAGTCTTGAATTTAAACATCTACTAAGGTTTACTTCATCATCCTAGACACATTGAGTTTAGCCTAATATGCTAATAATAAAGGAAATAGGAAATTATATATGTACCCGGGGGTTTACACCCCGGGTTACCCGACCCCACCGCTCCCCTCACAATGAGGTGGGGCCCGAGGCGAATTAAGTAATCGACGGGCCCTCCATTGTGAGGGGGTGGGGTCGGGTAACCCGGGGTGTAAACCCCCGGGTACTTATAGCACAACCCAAAGAAATAATAGGAACTGAATATTGATCACCCGTAAAATTAAATTGCAAAAAGAAGGTTAAAGATGAATTGTTGTCTCCTTTGAATTCATGTAGTGAAGTCTTCAAGATATCTCAATCTTCTTACTTGAAATATTTAATTTCGAGACACAAAGAACAAAGAGTTTTGTCAATTTTCTCTCCCTAGCCCTCTTCTACAAGTTACAAGATGAATTATCCTGAAATTGGTCTATTAAATTAGGTCAAAATCGCATGCCAATTGCTTTTCATGAAGAGTTCAAATTAGAAAAGGAAACAAAATCTTAATTGCTTGATAACATCAAGCGATCGCATGGTAGCATCTATGCCTCTGCAGGTTTTGCATCTACTTGTCTAACAATTGCACAGGTGCAACCTTGCAATCACAAGGTTCACACTTTTCTCTTGTTTTCAATTTGGTCCTCGTCCTCCCTCTATTGCACAGATCAAGTCCTTCCTAAATTGTGTTGCAAGTCCTTCATTTTCTCAATCTTGACACTTTGATCCCCATCTTCCATAATTTGTACGATTTAAGTATTTTTCATCTATTAATTGCTCATTTTGTCCAAAAATCCTACTAACATTGAGTTTATCCTAAAACAAGCAATATACCCAAAAACAAAATAAAAAATAAAAAAATTAAGTATCGATTCCATAAAAGCACTCATGATGTCCACTTTTGATATAAGTGTAAAATTACAATTATCAATTACTCCCAAATTTGAATATTTATTCGTCCTCGAATAAAATTATCTATTTAATCAAGCAAAAAACAATGGAAACAAATTCGTTAGATAACTTGCTGCTTTTCTCAAGTTCTAAAATTGCTTGCATAACTAATAAAATGTTTCTAAATTATGCTATCAAAACCAATTCTCAAATTATCTAATGCGTGATCGTATGTGTTCACAGTCAACTCAATCACCATAAAATTTTAAGTTGGTCATATCTCGATTCTCAGTTGTCAAATATATTCTTTCTCATTTGTAAGATGTAGCCCAAACCCGTTCTTCAATCTCTCACCCATGATATTTATTCTACGGTTGAACTCACAATACTCATTCATTTTGTGTTCGAGTTTGGTTGTGTTTTATCAATGGAAATGACATGCTATTATTCTCCATAGATTGGAGTGTCTCAACCTCCAAACACGCTTAAGATCATTCATTCAACCTGAGATTGAAACCATGGCATCAATAAATCAAACACAAATTGATAATTAAAAGAAGTCTTGAATTAAAACATCAAATAAAAGGTTTACATCATCATTCTAGATACAATGAGTTTATCCTAACATGCTAATAATACGAAAACATATAGTAGTTGAATATTCATCACCCGGAAAATCAAATTTCAAAGAGAAGGTTGAAGATGAATTGTTGTCTCCTTCGAATTCCTTCACTGGATTCTTCAAGAAATCTAAAGCTACTTGCTTGAAATCTTCAATTTCGAGCTACAATTCTTGAAATAACGTCATGTTTTGTGTGTATTTTTCAACCTAGCTCTCTTTTCCAAGTTACAAGATGAATCATCTTGAAATTGACTTATTGAATTAGGTTAGAAATGTGTGCCAATTGCTTTCAATGAAGAATTCAAAGTAGAAAAGGAAACAAAATCTTTGCTGCTCGATAACACCATGCAATTGCATGTCCTTCTATTTCATTATCGGTTCTACATCACCTTGCCTTGCAATTGAACAGGTGTAACTTTGCGATCGCAAGTTTCACACTTTCTCTTGTCTTCAATTTGGTCCTCGTCTTCCCTCTTTTGCATAGCTCAAGTCCTTCCTAAATTTCATTGCAAGTTTTTCATCTTCCCAGTCTTGACACTTTGATCCCCACCTTCCATAATTTGCACGATTTAAGTCATTTTCATCTATTTTTCACTCATTTTCTCCAAAAGTCATTTCATCATCGAGAGTTTCTCCTAAAACAAGCAATATACAAACTAAATTAAGCATGGATTGCGTAAAAGTACTCTCGAACGTCCACTTTTGATGACATAAGTAAATGTAAAACTGCACTTGTCACTCGTCAAAGTCGAGTTCACTCCATCTTAGTGCCAAACATCAAGGACAGATAAGATCTCACTAAAATCTTGCCCTCAATCAAGGACAAATCCATACTATAGCCATTTGAAAAAATCCTCCCATTAGGGATAAATTTTACAAGTATTTTACTCTATATATGTCAAAGATTGAACCTATCAAGAATTTCCTAGTCTTGTTCCACTAACATAAGTATCATTCCCCCCCTTAAGAAACCAATTTTTCACTTTCCTATATGAGATCTGTTACTACTGAAACATCTGCGTATGTATGCCTATGCTAGCAACAATTATAAATAAACATTAATACTTATAATTTTCAGGCATTATTTGAAGACCATTATTTCTGTCTCTTCTAATTTTATTGAGAGCTTTTTTGCTTTGCAGTTGGGGTATTGGCAAATTCGCGGGGAGGGATAGGACATGGAAGAGTAGAAATTCTGAAGTGATTGCGAAGGCGCCTCTGGAATATGCAAGAACTATGCCACAAATGAGGTACATGCTATATTAGATTTCTCCATATTTTGTTTGTCAATGACCGAATATTCTGGTGTGCGCCTTGCTTGTTTTCTGAAATTTAATAGAACGCAGTAATTTATTCGATTTGATTAAACTGACACAGTGAAAATCATGAGAGTGCCAACAATAACAAGAAGAAATTTAAAAAGCTTTGAAGCATTCACTTGATTTGCCTTTAATTCCTTTTCTTTGTGATTTTCATGCGTGACAATTTTTTTCTTGGCTAAAATGTTTTGGGAGTTGTCAAACTTGTCTAGACAAGTTCTTAGGTTGAAAAATAGAAGCACTTACGGGGCAATTAATGATTTGCGTTCAGAGTGGTCAAGACGGAAATACTGTTGTGAATATTGCAACAAAAGTAAAAATTAAGTGACGCAGTTATGAAGTTCAATAACTCACCTGAACCAGGAACATAAGTTCGGAAAACCACAGAATTTTAATCCTTTTTCTTTTATATGTGTTTTTTGGTGTTTGTAATGAACTTCAGGAAGCCTGAAGCTGGGATCAACGTGAGTCAGGATTCTGTGAAGCCCAGAGAAGTGAATCCATCAAAGAGGTACCCATTTTGCATTTTCTTTTATTTGTCGACAATGATCATAGATTTTACCTGTTTAAAGAGAGAACGATCTTTTTGTTATGCATGTAACACAATCATAAATGATATATGATTATGACTTGATATTGTGAATATCCTAGGTAGGTAAAGGACGTGATATGTGTAATTTGTTGGCACAGCACCATATGACGTGATTAATTGCATCAAGGTCTGAATTTAGTCGGACTCTCTAGCCTAGCTTTTCTAACACACCAATTTATTATTTTCTTATTGTTGGGGAATTGTAACAATGCATTGTCCAAGATTAGATGGAGTTGAACGACCAGTTTAACTTGGCCACATAGGACTTTCGTGTTAGTTTGACTAAGAGAAGTGAACGGAGTAACCGAGTTTGGGATTAGATGGAGTTGAACGACCAGTTTGACATAAAAGATACACATAGTCAAAATATATCTGATGAAAAATGGTATCGTGGGAAAAATTTTATGGATGCAAAACCTAAAAAAATTGGTTGTCCAAACTACAAGAGATGAGAATGAGTATAAAGAATAATTCTTAGTACATCACTAGAAATTTTATTTCATTATTTGTGGGAAAAAATGACCCCGAGGCTAGATATTCTATACGAGCGTGGGTGTTTATTAAGCAAAAGTAGCTGTACTTGTAGGATCAAAGTTGTCTTTATAAGATATGGCAAAAGTACACCATCTACTTCATATTTAGAAGATGCCTTTCCCTTTAGGCTTAACATAATTGGTGAACCCTCTACTTCTAGAACCAAGGCTTCAAATAATATACCTAGAATCTAAACACGAACTTAAAAATAGTAAAAGAATTAGAAAAGAGAAGAATTCTGAAGATCACTACCTAGAATACAAAATAATGAAATAATAGCTAAGCCTAGCTCCATGAGCAAAAAAAGTAAATATGTTGTAGAATGAAGAATCTACAGAATATTCAAGTGAAGAAAGTAAAAGGAAATGGGAAAGAAAGGACTTATGTATCGCACCACAAACAGCCAAGTGAAGAGTTTAAAGAGGGAAAATAGAAGAAAAATAGAGGAACTGTGTAAAGGGAGGTCGAGACTCACAAAAGTTTGTAATATAGAACTTTGATTAGTGAAATGGTTTTCCTCTCCTATGATAATCAAAATTTGACAGTTCTGTTTTAACAACTTAAATTCCAATTTTCTCATCCAGTTCTCAAGAGTACCACTCATTCATTCTTAGTAATTATCTGAGACCATATACCTTCAAATTTTCACACTAATAATACACTCTACGTAGTTTTATGGATCAAATAAATTGACTGAAAAATGATTTTAAAAATACTTTCATCTAAATCACTGATTTTATTTTAGTGTCATATAATATATATTTGATATTTGAAATGCTGCAATTGGATTGCAAGCCTTATTCTCCGTAAATTTGAATCATACTTGTTGAAATATACACATAAGAACCTAATCTGAAATTCCTTCAAATATTACTGGAATAGGAGTTTTCTGGCTTCTACCCAATAGTGTAGTTGGGGTTTGACATTGTTCTAAACCCGTTTATTATTAATACATCTTGCTCAAGTTAGTAGCGATATTAATGCAGAGAGACAACATTGGCTGGATCAATACTTGAGAGAGAGGAAAGAGTGCCACGGCTTTCAGGACAACATATGGAGGACATAGAAAACTGTCACCATCCTGACTCAACCCCCACTCCATCCATGGACAGCTTCGAATATATATTCCACTTTGTGCTTGCTTTAATTATTGTTAGTTTCTTAATGGTGCAGTTATAATGATTATCGATGGAGTTTTTCTACATGTTCTATTTCTTTATCATCAATACTTTATTAGATGATTTTATAAATAAAATTCAGTACTTTTGTTCTTTGGACACATTCTTATAGTGTTTTTTTTCCGGCCTGCTTGTAGATTTTATTTGATTCTTACTTAAATATAGTTTTGTCATCAACACGCTCCTTATGTGCCGGTTAATTTAATTTTATTATTTTTCTTCACCAATTTTTATTTTCATGAAAACCAGAGACGTATAATTTTATTAAGAGGTGAACTCCAATTTGAACTCAAGACCTCACCTTGCTCATATCATATTCAACTGCCTAATCCAAAAGTTTAAGCTCGTAAGAACAGGAAAACTAATTCATTTAGTTTTGTCAAGAACAAACCCTTACATGCTGATCAAATTTGTATCTTCGTCAATGGTGCGACACATACACTTAAGTATGTTTGTTTCTGCATTGAAGAGCGTACGTGCACTGAAAATTTAAACTAAATATTCCAATGAAAATTTGCCTTAACTATATTTTGTTTCGTGACTTGGTAACCCGGTGATTTGTCTAGGTCCTCAATCTGGTCATATCTGATAGGGAAAATTACACAATTACCGGT